CGGTGCTTTTTCCTTTTCAAAATGTGAAAGTAATCATCGTGAAGGTCAAGAGCCTCAAACCAGCCTGGAGGGTTAGGAGTCAGGATTAATCTCTCCAGAGAAAACCTTGCAGAATTGGATTTTCCTTATGTAATTGCTCAGTTGTTTCTAGTTCAATTTCTAGAATTGGGTGCAGACCGCCATTCCTTCTTGAGAAAAGGAAACAACACTTCTACGATTCTAGTTTAACTAGGCCAAGAGCTCTTCACGAAGTTCCTCATGAGAAGGCTCCCTGAAAAGGGAAGGGGGCTTGAGCTTTCTCATTGTCATGAATGGGAAGAAGTACCCCCATGCAGTGAGCTCTAGGACCTAGCAGTCCAAAGAAATTACTCAGATGCCTTTAAAAATAAAAAAGGGAGTTGTTCCCAAAGGGTGAGGAAGAAGTTGAGGATCTGGGTCCTCCAAAATTGCTTTGAGGTCCTCTGGGGCATACTCTCCCTTGCTGAACTAGATGCAGCACCAGTTCTGGCTGAGGTGGAAGGTATTTTCCTCCTCTGATGGTTTCTTTTTTTAAATTTCACTTAAAAAAAAAGAAGGACTGTCTAGTCCTATTGCTGGTAGCCTGATTCCAGGAAGGACTGTTGAAATTGTCCCTTGTGAAATCTAAACTATTTCCTGCAAATAAAAGCTGACTCAAGTCCAGACACCTCTCCATGGACTTTGTGACCTTAATCCTTTCCAGAACCTCTGTCCCAGAGTGGAAAAGGTTGATTTCTTTAAAAGGCAGGTCCATGACCTTGGCTTGGTGGAGATGAGAGTTTTGGAGCCAAGAGTGTTTCTTAAGGGACCCAAGCATGTTCAAAGTCCTAGTATAGTGCTGTCTGAGACATCAGTGGAAGCTTTGGGAGTATGCTTAGACACCTGGCCTTCTTCAAACAATTCCACACATCCCAGTATCTTCTCCTCATAAAGGGAGCTGGTCAACATTTTTCATTCACAGCATTTTAAAAATAAAAAACAAAAGTGGCCTTTCTTTGAAAGGAAAAGCTTTTTTATATTGATTTATTTTTAATTTTCCAGGTTTTTTTGTAAAAACAAACAACCCAAACATTTGAAGTTTTGGGGAGTTGTTTTTACCCTCTCCCTCCATTTCCCCCCTTAATTATTGAGCAATGGCTAGTATTTTCCCTACATGCACTTTTTCTTTTGCCAAAGGTCAGAGACGTTTAAAAAAAATCATTCATATTACTTGTTCTCAGTGGCAAAACATTTTTTTCCCAAAGATTTGAAATTTTTTTTTTAAAATTGTGATCAAAATAGAAAGTGGTTCCACTTCAAACCCAGCAACACAAATTTCAAATTTGCTCATTAAATTGTTTTTCCATTTTTCTGCTTATGAATGTGCTGGGCTCAAGATCCTGCCTTCGATTAGGCAGAAAACTTATTTCTAGCAATAGCTACCTTGGCAGCCTGGACAGCTGGAGAGTTCATACATTTTAACACCAGGGAAACCACTGTGATAATCTAGCCTGACTTCCTGCAGAACACAGGCCATAGGATTTCACCTAGTAATTCCTACATCATGCCCATGCCTTCTGGCTGAGTTAGAGCATATCTTTTAGATAGACACCCAATCTTGATTTGAAGATTTAAAAGTGACGGAGAATCTTCCACATTCCTAGGCTTGTTATATCAGGCTTGCCTAGCAGTTAACCTTCTACCTTAACACATTCAGTTGTTTGAGCCCCTTGTCCCCAGAAGTAGATGACAACTTCCCAGCTTTAAATATTTCACTTGCAGCAGAGATCACAACTGAGCTTGGGGTAGGATTCTGGAAGAACAATCCAAATCTTTCCCTGGGAACGGGCAGAAAGATCTAGGAGTCTAACAGATCAAGGCCAGATGGTGCCTGCCAAATCCTGGGAGGCTCTGGTGTCACACAGACGAGGGGAAGGAGTAGTCATGGCAGTCTCATCAGTTGCTAAGGTACCGGGGCACCTTAGAGGATAGTCCTCACCAGTTCCTGCCTCTCAGAGTACCAATGTCTGTGGATCAGTGGTGCTACTGGATGTGGGGTCAGACAGAGGTCAGGTAGTCCCTAAGGCGACTGCCTTCTTTGGAGGAGACTTCCTGGCAGAGGAGGAGATCTAGGTCTCCTCAATTCCTTACACTAAAGATATCACAGATGCAGGAGGACCACAGGGCCAAACACAACAAGGGGTAGAATACCCCTAAGGAGGAGATCCTGGGTAGCTCTTTAACGGGGCTCCCCAAGATGACAAGGTTCCAAAGATGTCATCGTATTAAAATAAGGCTCCCCATGAGGAGGAACCACAGCTGACTGGTACGGAACACTCTTTTCATAGACCTGGATATCATACTATCCTGAACTCAGATCTCAAGGGAGCTGAGAGCCCCCAAGACCAAAGGGTGGCACAGGCTTGCCTCAGAACCACAACACCTAGGAGTCATCCACACATGGCCAGAGGAAGAGCATTTTGGAGAGAGCCTCTCCGGAAACGATCCCACTGGGAGAAGCAGCTGGGGCTTGGCACTGAGAATGGTGACATCCCTCGCACCAGAGCTCTGAGGGTGTGTATTTCTGTTGGAGTGGCCAGATGAATCCGAAGGATGCTCGGAAACAGAGGATCAATCCAATCAACCCAGATCTAAGAGGCCCTTCCCTGTGGGAAACTCTTATGATCTGAGCAGGCCAATTACATTGGGGTAGAGGTCTAGATCTAACTGCAGGATGCTTTCTGGAGCACTCCTCCTTTTTGCCCATGAGGGTTACTGAACTGCATGAAGCTCTCCCTCCAGCCCTGTCCAAGGAACCTGGAGCCTTAGCTGGGGGAACCAATCTGAGCAGTTCCTTGTGGGGCATCTTAATTTTGGACATTCCCTTTCTGCGTGTGTGTTTTCTCTTGGCTTCCACTCTAAGGAAGGTTTCAAAGGCACATTACACAGCCCTAGACACTCCTCCACAGAAGGTCTCCTAGAATACTGCGCCTTCAAAGCCTATGGCAGCAAGAAGTTCTGCTGTTTTCTTTTTGGGCCCTTTTAGAAGGGGCCCTTACAAGCCATCACAGCATTTCCCCCAGGCATGAAAGGCACTTTTCGTGCTTTTATGGAGTAGGAAACATAGGACAAGAGGAGCATTATTTAAAGCCAGTCTTTTTGGTAGCGTTCTCTCTCTTGGGCAAACCCTGACAAAACAAGAAATTAGAAAGGAGAAGTGTGCGTTCCTAAAACTAATTATAAAAGTACATTAAAGCTATGTACAAATGCTGTGTGTCTTACATGACTGAAGGGAGAGGTTGGTTCTGTGACACTGTTTGGAAGGCAGAGGGACGGTTACCAGATGCAGGGTATTTGTACTCTATGGAACTTAAGGCTAAGAAAGGAGTGTGCCCCTGACTTTCAACTACTGATCAAAATGGTTCTGTGACCATTGAGCAGACTCAGGACTCCTGCAATGGTGCTCTGGAGACATCAACACGGAACATATGGATACAGCACATTTACTTTCTATGTTAGAATACAGAAAAAATGTAAAGAAGTGACTAACGTGTATATTGATTCCCAAAGCACTGAACACTTCCCCTTTCTCCCAAGACTGCTTGGAAGCATTAAGCTGCTGCAAGTTACTGTGATGTATATTTTGTTCATCCCAGGATGCACATATCAATCATTCTACAAGACAAAGCAAAGATACCGGACAGCACCACTCCAAGTAGAAGAATCTAACTTTATAGGGGATAAAGAATTCCTGAAAGCTACATTGATATGACACAGCCGATTGGTGATGATACTCTCGTCCAACCCATTTTCTTCTCTCCAAACGTTAAGGCATTCACACACCATAAAACCATCTTATGCCCTCCTCTGGGCTGCTGCTGGTGTCCTCTTTCAGAAGAGACACAGATACTGAAGTCCTCATCTGTCACGGTCATTCAACATTTCATGGCATTTTCTGCAAAAGTTAGGGTGCTAATCCCTGTGTCCTGGCAAGATTCCAACATAGATAATTACATTCTGCCTCCCTAAAATCCCCAAGGAGAAGTTCTAATTGGCTATGGTATCCTTCACTTCCTGTCCTAAACAATTGTGCAATGGTTTTGTGCACTGACAATTAAACAGTTACTGTGCTCCACCCCAGAAGCAGTGACATATCAGCAGTAGAGCAAAACAATCCCTATCTGTAATAACTTGCATTATTTCTTAAGTGTATAAAGTGCTTTAAGGACCCTTCAAGGTGAAAGTGGTAACATTATACAGCACCTTTTACACCACAAAATGCTCACTCTTCTCAGTGCATAAGAGGCTAAGATGGAAGATCTTTATCACTTCAAATTCTACCCCACTTGTTTTCCAGCATATGACAGGCACGTGTGCTCATTGAGGACTGACTGAATTGGAGTTAGAGGAGCCCATCTGGTTTTGAATGATCAGCTGACATAAAACAGCTACAGTAAAATGCAGAACCACCTGGCGCTTTGGGCAGCTTGCTTGCCAGATTTTCTTACGGCTTCCTAAAAATGTCACTTCTGGCCCAAGACTCAGCAAGAGAAGTTTCAGCCCAAAGGATTTATTTTTAACAGAAAGTTACAAAGGGGTCAACCATAAGGCTGAGAATCAGAAATTGGCCAAAGCTACACAGTTTGGTTCTGGATCAGATGATCTTCTTAGTTCAGATCTAGGGTTCAAACGGAAGCCAGTTTTCAAACACCTTAACTATGAGTCTATGGGACTCCAAAGCCTCAGAAGCATCTCCGGAGAGATTCAGGGGAGGGGACAGAGCATGCAGCTTCCCCTTTCTCAGGTTCCATCTATTCCATGAGCAAGCAATGGGCTTCTGTTCAAAATCATTACAGGGCAGGCACATCTGGCCACAACCCTCTGCATGAAAATTCCAGCCACCCAAACCTTTTGCTGACCTGTGGTTTAGCTGATCACCAGGAAGCACCGCTTCCTGCCCAGCAGAGAGAGAGCCCTGATCCAACTTCATCCATCAGACTTACCTTCCCAAACTGCTCAAAATACTGTTTCACATCCTCCACGGTAGTGTTCACAGAGAGACCCCCCACAAATATCTTCTTCGTCCGCGTTACCATCTGGAAAGGGGAGGACAGGGATTCATGGGAGAAACAGAGTTAGCAGAGAACAAGATCTGTCTCCAAAACCTCCTCTTTTATAAGCTGAAGAATATGCTGTGCACTGTATTCCACTGGGAGATTGCCCGCAGCAAAGGAGCAGAAAGTCCCCCAACGAAACACTGTATCTAATAGAGGACGTTTCAGGCCTCAGAAATGTCATACTGTGAAACTCCATCACTCAAGTGCAATCTCAGACCTGCTCAAACATGCACCGTATTGCTGTAGGGTGACCAGATGTCCCGATTTTATAGGGACAGTCCCGATTTTTTGGTCTTTTTCTTATATAGGCTCCTATTACCCCCCACTTCCATCTCGATTTTTCACATTTGCTGTCTCCTTCCCTCCCTAACCCCCAGCATGCACAAGCTCACCACCTGCCCGTGGGACTTGCCAGGGCACTGCCACTAATCTCTCATCTAACCCCCTGGGGACGGGTCCAGCATGTTAAAGTCTTTCCCCCACTAATCGTTCAGTCACCCACTTTCACAAACCTCCTCGCAGACACAGAGTGCTGCCATCTCCTTCCCCACCCTCCCGTCACTCACACAGGGCACTGGTGTCACCCGGCCAATCCCCAGCTCACCCTCCCTCCCTGCAGTGAAATGGGAAAGCAGAGCATGGCTGTGATGTGAGGTGGAGATCTCCATGGCCCACGGGTCTGCAAATTGTGCAGTGTCCAGTCCTACAGGGAACAAGCGCCGCTCCACTCCCACTCCCAAGCCACCAGTTTAAGGAGCCTGAGGAAACTCCCAGTTAAGCCTTCCTTTGCCTCCTCCCAAATGCACAAGAAGAAACCCTGCCCTTTCTCTCCCCCCAGCCACAGGAGACTGAGGAGGAATAACCGAGGGGGGCGATGGCTGCTAGGATGATGCACACTGGTGTCCTTTGAACGGACGCTCCAGCTGCATCCTCCCCTCAGCCCCTTGGCCACACCCCTGCTCTAGCAGGAATACATGGTCCTAATAACCCCAAGGAGCACAGGGCTAATCCGCAGCAATTCCATGGCTTGGAGAGCAGCCTGTTCTAACACTAAAGCACCTTCTGTCACCAAACTGCTTAATGGAATTAACCCAATTCCTACCATGTGCTTCCTGGCTCGTTACTCAGGATACCTGCTCACTAATTGTTCTCAGCTCCTGATCCCCTGTGCTTTCCTCCCCCACATCAGTCTCTTCTTCCACTCTGCAATTCTCTCCTCTCCTCAGCAACCCTTTCTCCCGCTGCAGTACTTGGGGTGAGATTGTAGGCTCTCGTCCCCCAGCCCAGTTAAGCGAGACCCCCAAATCTGTATTGCACTTTGAAGGCAAGTTGCCAATTTGCTCTTCCCTCTGCAGTTAAAAGTTTCCCATTGAGCATCTGGTAGAACCCCCACAGCTGCTCACGTCCACCAAGCGCCCACCTTCCTGGTGCACGTCAAGCCCAACGTCCTTCTCTCTCTGGCCTTACTAGTGCTGGTGTGCACCTTGCCATTCCACAAAATGAAGTTCTTTCTCCCACACCTCTCCCCAGGTCATCCTACATGTCTCCTGCCACTGATTGGAACTACTTCATGTTTCTTGCAGGCCCTCAGGTTCCAGATACAGGCTACCAAAGAGCAGAAGGTGCTACGTTCTTGAGCAGAGTTCTGCATTTCATCAGCTCCACTCACGAAGCATGCTCTAACCAGAGTGGAGTGGACTGTGGGCTGTTCCAACCCCACACTGGCAATCACAAGAGCATCACAACGCTCCATAGTGAGCTAGATCAGGCACAATGGAATGCAAGTCTAGAGGTGGAGCACCAAAGGTCATCATTAAAGTAGGAACTAAGCCTGAGTATCAAGCATCAAAGCCTTAAGGACCAATGCTGGCAGGTGCACCAAGATGCCCTTCCAGCATCCTCTGGACAAAAGCACAAAGAGGATTTAAGTTTATTGAGTTGCACCTTTTCAATTTGTAAAAGCTGCACATGCTACCTACCTTGGGCTGTGCTCGGCGGGGGAATGCTACTTTTGGGTCGATCTGAAAGAGACATGGGAGAGAGAAAGCAGGTGAACACACTTTAATTGTCTACATTTCATTTATTAATATAAGCTCTCCACAAACTTTGCCCAACTGATAGCTTGCCAGACCCAAGAAAGACACCTAATGAGCATAAAGTAGACTGCAGACAATTTTATCTTCTGATAGAAGTGTGATCCCTGGAGACTACAGTTCCCAGCATGCAATGTTCCATCTGAATGTGAGCAGCAGCAGTTCAGCACAAGATGGAATACCACAGGCTGGGATTAGCAGTCTCTGTTAGCCAGTCCTCTGCATTCATATTCTACCTTGGCCATCCTGCACCAGCAATGGCATATTAAAGTGCTCTTTATTCTCCCCTTCACTCTGGCTAAGAGTGCAGAGCTCACCTGGTTAATAGTGGATCAGGAAACGGTCAGCACATAAAAAGCTAAGAACTTCATCCCCAAAAGCATGGATTCACATGAGAAGGGAAGATGTGAATTAAACAGAAGAGTCCCAAGGACAGAAAGTTGCAATACGGACTGATACAGACTCTTGTCATCAAATCACACAGTATACTACTGCCCCTTCTGCAGGTTATATGCTTTACAATAAAAACAATCAGTTCCAATCATCCCACTGTGCTAGATGCGCCGGTTTGGTTTATTAATAAACTTGCTGTCCACTGGAGTGCCTGTATCGCAGCACCAATATCCAGGTGGTGCACATTCTGCTGAGGTCAGCAATGGATGAACACATGGCTGCACTATTATTAACACCACCACTACTTAAACTAGGAAAATACTAATGCACTGAAAACCAAACACCCACTATAATATATATATAGTGTGTGTGTGTGTGTGTGTGTGTGTGTGTGTGTGTATGTATATATATATATATATATATACACACACACACACACACACACACACACACACACACACA